TTAACTCTTAAACAAATAAGAAGAATTAAGAGTCATAATGTGTAAAGGCTGAAAATTCTTCCTGGGCCCAGACTGAGAAGATCAAGGGAAGAATGAGAAGCAGCAGAAAACAATTTGTTGCCTGGATGACTTACTAAAGTTGTATACTAGTGAAATCTTGCCTTTCTTATTGCTTTTCTTCCTGTGTGGTCAGGTCAAAAAGTAGTATTGTCCAGCTACTACAGCAAGGAATGCCAGGAAGAAATTCAACATTCAGAAAATATGAATATTTTGTAAGTTTTGTAAAAATGTAGAGAGATTTTATAGCTTTACATTTCTTTTCTTAATAGTTACAGGGCAAATTCTTTTCTGATATGAAAGATCTAAGCTACACTTCAGTTAACGAAACAAGGCCAGCAGTTAATGAAACAGGACCAGCTTATCCCAGCAGAAAATCTCATCTCTGTTTTACTGCCATAACAGCAAAATTAGAGTAAACGCAACGGACTTTCTGTAATATGTACAAGCCATTCTTAGCCATTCAGATGGCTCAATATTTAGCCCATGAACCACTCTGTTCAGCTCACTAAACATTTATTCTGCTAAAGGCTGATTTCTTGCAGGGTGGTGTTCTCCCCCAACTCCTCCTCTCGCAATTTAAAGATCTGACTTTACACATTACAGGTTTGGAGCAGTGTCTTTTGAGGGTGGGGGGACAGCAGGGGGGATTGGATAACTGCCCAATTTCATATGATAAAAGTGAAATTCTCTTCTGTCTGCAGGACAATCCCCAGGGAACAACGTATGAAACCCAAACTTAAATAAAATCATATCCTGTTTGCAAACATCATATTCCCTTTGCTTCTCGGTAATCTGGACCCATAAACCCCAGCACAGCTTGAGAGCCCATTCCTCATCTAAACAAATGCCATAAGCCCCTTTATACTTTTACAACCATGTCAGAAAATAATATTGACTGCCAATAGTGATGTGATTGGAGTTGCCTCCTCTGAGCCATAAAAGAAGCAGTCTGTTATCAATTTCTCTAAATGCATCAAGGGAATTATGGGTCGGTTCAGTTCCAAGTTATAAATGACAATTCAAAAGCCGCAGAAGTGTTTGAAGCTGGGAGCCGATGATGACATTATCATAAAAGCCTGCTCTTCTTTGCTTTTGTGGGTTTTTTTGCCTATCAACTAGACAAAAAAATATGGCTGAGAAATGACTTCAAGATTTCTTCACACAGCAGCAGGTCAAACAGGCAGGAAAACAATCACTATTTTTAGTGACAGACCGAGGCAAGGAGATGAAACTTACTCCCATTAAAAGTAGATTTCTGCTTCTCTTATTGTCATTTTCACAGTACAACACAAGGGGATGAATTGCAATAGATGGATGCATTGATCAAATGATCAGTTATAGCTCTAGTGGCTGTTTACAGAAGAAAATTGTGGAAAGATCTGATAATCTGCAGTACCAAAAAGTAATTCATGATTATTCTCCCCATTTGGCCACTTCACCTGCAATCTACCCACCTCTCCTGGAAAACTTTTCACATTCCAAACCTCTGACCAGCTGCAAGAAACCATCTCTTGTTATTAAAACTGCTGGCCATGGAGCTGCTAGTCTCTCTCCAATGCAAGGAATTTCATCCCCCGTCCCCCCAGTATGAGAATTCTTTAACAAGATTTGTTTCTGGCACAATGTTAAGCTTGAAAAAAGAATAAAAAGCATTATTGCAAAAGGGAGGTCCCATACTTCAGTGGATGTTATACTGCTGACCCTGGACAGTCCTCTGATAAAAAATTAACCATCATTGAAAGAAAACCTGTTATAGGCAAATCTAGGAGGTTAGATTTAGACAACTTTTTTTTTCTTTCTCTGTGAGATCTGTTCAGTTTGGCTGCCAGTATGAAACAGCTTTGTGTTCTTAGATAAGAGAGCTAATTATTACTTATGTAGTTTCTTATAAAACTATGAAGTTTATTGTTTGATTTCTTCTGAAAGCCTAACATATACCAAGCCAAATTCGCCAATGATCCTGATGTAAGCAGTCCCTACCACTACTTGAAAGAAAATTCATATGGATGAAAAATGTTTACAAAATCAGTAAACAATAGCTTTACATGTATTTTTCACCGGTACAAAAGATTTAGAGCCATGATGGAACAGGATGAGAAAATATTAGTTATGGACACTGCCTCCTGTTTGCTTTTCAAAATTCTTGAAAAAAAATTTCGTTTACTGTAACTGCAAGTAATGTCCAAAGAAGAGGATTCCTGATCTTGACTGCAGTTTATTGGTGTTGTTAGAACAGAGATAACAACAAAATCAATAATATAGTAGAATTCAGGGTCACAGAGGTTAGTTGGACCTTTGTGAACAATGCAAGCCATCCCAAACTCATGCTGATATAGTCTTTATAGCCCATCAGCTGATCATGTCTTCAATGCCTGTGAAGCCTTAGGTTCCAGTCCTTGCTCCAAGAGCAGTTTCCATTTTGTCCAGTGATTCTTTCATGTGAAATATATAAGCTGTTTTTGGAGCAGGGGCTCAGAGCTAGGACTTCACATTATTTATAAACATATGATAGGTAGATCATAGCCTCAGATACATGGGCTTTATCCTACTTATGCTTTGTCTTACTGGTCCAGCGCTCTTTCCAACAGTGGTACAGATTCAGCGTGTGGTGTGAGGGTCCCGAACCAGAAACATTCTATGATCTCCTCAGTGGTAACAACATCCGCTAAGAGATGGGGTCTCTGATATTAAATCCAGCCTGGCAGTGAAGAGAAATGAGCCTAGGTTTCCCATCCCCTGTGTGAGTAGTCTAACCACTAATCCATTTAATAATAGAAGAGCTGCATAATAACAGCCAGCAAGGTCCCCATATGGTTAGAAGACAATGGGATCAAAGAGCTCTGAAAACCATCGTTCAAGAGGCAGCCATAAAGTCTCTTGGAAGAATTGAATTCTTTTTTTTTCTTAGTACTTTCTCACTGTATTCTTTAGCAAATAAGTAATCAAGCAAGCAAGCAAGAAAATAAATGAGAACAAAAATTTAAAAAAATTAATTCTTCCATCCCTCCTTAAAATCTTTGCATGAACTACTCTTACTGCTTTACATTGATTACTGCTTTATAACCCTCAATTAAATTGAAAGCTACTAAGTAGCAATGCTGCTTCTTTCTTTCCACCATCATTTTTGAAAGTAAATTTAAGCATTGCTTTCCACACAGTTTGAAGCAGCTCCCTTTCCCACAGCTCATCTTAACCAATAGACAGCTAAATATCACTGAAAGAGAGCTCCTAATCTGATTATTTACCTTGAAAAAGGTCATAACCCATTCCTTTAAAAGAGCCCCACAGCAAGCCTGACAATAATAATATGTAGAAAGGCAAACCAACTAGAAAAAAAATAAATAAAAGATCCATTTCTACAACATGTTCTTTAATCCAATTTCCATGACTTAAAATAAGAAATGAAGCAAACAGACTCAAAAAGTGTAGATAAATTTAAATGCTTAAAAAGTTAAGTTATACTGAGCATTTCTGACTTCTGTTAGCTTTAGAATGGACAACATACTTCCATTAGTAGAAGGGTTTCAAAGCACATCTCTATTCACGGTTTTTAATACCACCGTAGCTAGTTTCATAGAAAAATCTTATACTTTAATTTTCAAAGCATACCACAGTCCTATTTACTTTCCAAAGCCCTCAAAAAGATTTGTCAAGAAATTTTACATCAGCTCCTCTTTACTCAGAAGTCTGAACAACATCATTTCTCAACTTTATTCATCTCTTGTTCAGTTTTCTCTAAACTTCTTAATAACAGCAACAACAGTGTGAAAAATTATCTATTTTTTATACAGAAATGTGTGCATATATGTGTGTGTGTGCATATCTGCACACAGTAGTGCACAGAGGTGCACGTGGACATGCACACCTACGTGTTAGTGTGTAATGTTAGCTGATCCACATACAGAAATGACCCTCAAGTTTCAAAACTGGCAAGTTGCTAGTCACCAAGTTCCAAATTTTAGGCAGAATCCTCAGCAAGCTAAGGCCACAGCAGAGGAGCTGGCATGATTATCACTTCCTGGTCCTTTGTTCCGTAACTCATAGTTCAGAAATCCTCAAAAATTATGAAATACTGAAAGTTAAATGGAATTTTTGTTTTTTGTGTGTTAAAACCTTACAAAATGAGTATTTCTTCTTTCAGGTATCTCATAATAAAAAAAAACACTATAAACAAGACTAGTATGGTATGGAATTTATCCTTTGTGAAGGATAAAAGTAAATAAAACTTTAGAAGGCTTTGGAAGTTGACCTCCAGAGAGTGTGGCTTTATTCCTGCATACGCAGAAACAGTGAAAGGGAACTAAAATATATATGCATCATCCAGCCAGCCCATCAATATCCAGTAATGTCATTATTTCACTTTGATATTGCTGACACCAGTAAATAATGGACCCAGCTAGACCAAAACTGTAGAATACTTTTGTGTGAAAAAACCCTGTATGTGAAAAATTATTTCTCCCTGGTATTATCTTCACTAGAATTTAATAGGAACGTGATACCAACATCAGCAGAAATTCTCCATTCTACATGTTCATCAATAATTTCGATTAGTTCTTTTACCTAGTGTTGCAACAGATTTTTGTCTACGATAAGCATATGGAACAATTAGGTAGGAACATATTTTCTGATAATTAGCATATTTCTCAGTTGTCCCACTCTGGGTTTTTTACATGAGCTCTATTTTTGAGGAAAGTAACATGGGTGCAATTGTATAGCCCATTCTGCTATAACAATTCCTATCTAACCGTTCCATGTGCTTATTGTAATGTACTGTCTTCTGTGTCTTTGAAAACACAGTATGATAATGGCTCAGGTTTCATCTCGACATTTTTTATCAGCTTCTGAAGACTTTGAACTGATAATGCAATAGTGCTAAAGAATTCATGAATGAATACATGTTGCGTGCTGTCCCTCTTGTGAAAAAACAAACATCTACTTACCCCAAGTCCCCCACAAGGCAACAAGGAAAAGAGTTTTTGAGACACGTTTCCTATATATTAAAGAAAAAAAGAAACAATAAGCATCATTTCTCAAAAAGACAGTTAAATACTGGAACAGTAATCACTCTTTACTGTAATTCAGATTTTGGTATCACACAATGAAAATGCCATATATTAGAATAAAAGATATTAATAGTACTTAGAAAGCAAATCAGCCATGGGACATTTAAGGTACTCTTTTGCAACAGTGACAAATCTTAAGATTGGTAAGCAGTAGTTTCAAAGGAGTATAATGATCGAATCTCCACAGAAAGTCACTCTGAACTAGGGTGACTAATCATCCCGATATCTGTAGCTGATAAGCAGCTTGTCTAAGCTAGTCATCTCAGCTTCTTCTATAGCCAGTGGAGTGAGGTAGGCATCTCTACCCAGCCGAGATGACTGATGGGATGAATTATACTTGAGAAGTGACTGTTTCTTCTCACTGACAACAGAGGGAACCTCATTAAGCTTACATGAAACTGATAACCGATTTCTTAACTTCATCTCTCCAAAAAAGTTTCTCCTTTGAAAATCGCAGCCTTAGTCTTCCTATCTATGCAAAAATGCTGTTCTCTTAATTTACATACCATCAATGAATATATTAATAATTTTAAAACATAAAATGAAATGCTGCTTGTTTCAGTATTACTCAGTAAATACATTCTACTAAAGGGAACAAAATCTTAATAGGCTTTAGAATCTAATTTCTAGCTTACTCTGCTCTATACATTAGATAATGTGATAGGGTTTATCTTAATATTTATACCCACTTTTTATTCATTCATGTTTTCTTTTGTTGTACCACTAAACTCAATGTTCGCCTTGATAAGGACAATATGAAAACTGGGTAAGGATCTCAGGATTTGATGCAGTTCCTGTCCTGGTATGTAATCTGATCCTAAGGCAGCTGTGGAAGAGAACATAAGCTTTTCCCCTGCCGTATCACAGAACTGGCTTTGTAACTTTGCCATCTGGAGGAAACGTTAGATAGTGAATCACTCAAGTTACCTAGAGGAGCCACCCATTGTTATGGAAGGGGCGAACGCTGCAGTTACTCATGTTTAGCAGGTGCCAATGAAATGCATAAAGACAATTATAAGCCATCATCTTTGAAGTACGAGAGATCAGACTGCAAGGTCTGAGACGAAGAAAGTGCTTTACACTTCGAGTAAAATCCAAGATGCATTTTTAACTGACTAGAGGCCTTTGATCAGTTTGCACAGTGTGCGAGAGAAGCCAAACAAAACCTCCTGTGGAGCTACCAGGGGAAATGCAGGTGCAGCAGCTATGCAGAGTATTCTCATACTGTGAGTCCTAATGGCCCCAGACATGCAAGGAAATGTTGGCTGCAGGAGATTGTCAGAGTAGAGGTACAGGAGGAGTTTCTAGATCTCTGGCTAAGCAGATCCAGGGACCAATGCAAACAGCAATTTTTCACTTTTTGCTGTGGGGAAGATCAAAAAGTCTTGAGCAGATAACTGAAAAATTAGTGCTGTTAAAGTGCCAGGAGACATTAATGGAAACATAAACTGTAATTTGAGATAAAAGAAGGCATTTTTAGAATATTGAATGACTAGACCCTTTTTCTTAAATTCCATTGCAGGGTTGGGACATAAGAGAGAACAGATGAATTCTCATTTATCTCCCTGCAGCCGGGCACATTGTGCATGGTAAACACTATCAAAAACAACAAACAGAAAGTAAAAACAGAAAAGCAGATGGTGAGGAAGGACACTAAAATCGATCAACAGATAGTACTAAAATGGGAGGAAACAAGCACGAAGCCTTTTCAGTGTATCAAGAAAGTTGTCAGGATACTCACTTCTTATTGCATGATAGTCAAAAAAAGCAGATAACAGACTTTGCAGAACAAGAAAAACATTGAGATTTCATGAAAAGAACAGTGGAGAAAGGTTCTACTAAGAGAGAGTGGGGCTATCACTTAGCTAGCCTCACAAAAAGAAAAGAGCTTACAACACTCTTTGCCGTAAATGAAAATCAGCAGCAAAAAGCAAACCCTGAAAATGAATCGAGGTGAGAATTTCCCATGATGTTTGGAGTTGATGCCCCAGCAGAACTTGGTAAATAGCAGCCATTTTACAGTAACACCCTTCCACACCCAAGGACACCTCCAGAATAATAATAAAAAAGATATTGGGATACTTCAAGTAAGATAGAAGACAAATTTTAAATAATCATACTTTTTTTTGGCTTTGCATCAGGACAGAGTTTGTAGCAAATCACTTGAGAAAAAAGATCTTTTAGAGAAGATTCAGCACAACAATTTACTGATAGATCTAGAAAAATTATCCAAGATTTGTATTCTAAAATTTCAACCCACAAAGGCAGTAGAAGCTGATTAGTCAAATTAGGTGCTGAGGCACCCATCATTGACGGAGGTCAGGGCCCCTACAGAAGTCAAGGAAGCTGCTTAGGAGATTGACAACTGGGGACTGAAAGTCTGATGAGCAGGAAAAGTGATGGGCAAAAACTGTCTTTAAAAAAATAAACAAACTAAAAAGTGTGTGTCCACTTGTGAAAAGGCACAGTTTGAGGAACCTAACTGTTTTCAGTGTCATCCCTCAAGAATGAAACCATTTCTGCTAAGTGGTCATTTTTTCACTAACTTGAAATTGCAATTGCACAGATGCTCTGTGAATGCATCTTTTGGTTGTACTCTAAGTACTGCACCACTGTCAGGGATGTGTCAACAGTATATTTCTCATTTTTATAAACTTGTAATCATTGGAAACTTGCTTTTTAGAAACACTTTCTTAATTATGATTGGAGAGGAAAAAAGGCAAACAAATTTGTAAGACCTGTTTGATAACTGTTCTGCCCTTGAGCTTATTCAAAGAGGTTTGAAAGGTTGTATTCTGTCACATGAAACCGTAATGTGATGTGCCACGTGGTCTGCATATTAGTTTCCTTCATGTCAAGACAATGTAATGCAACATAACATGTTGCTTAACACACCACACTGAAATAAGATCAGTCAAAAGCTTAAACTATGCAATAGTGTAAAGTTGAAGTGATCATCTGCAATAGCTACATTTGTAGGCCCTGATGCAGGGAAAATAAAGCCAACAGTTCAAGTCAGTTTACACTCTGAAAGCACTAAGAATATGTGAACAATAACTGCGTGCATAATTCTCACTGATTTCAGTAGTTTACAGCCATTTTGCTTTGCAGTCTTCCAGAACAGAGTTTTTTTCCTGTACAGGGACACTGAAATAAGCATTTATTGATACGTAGCACATTTCTAGCCCTAGTCATACTTAAATTTAATTCCTTCAAGTGTTTCTTTTCTGTTTGAAAGATACAGAAGCTGCTTGTTAGAAAAAAAAGAAAAAAGAGCTTCAGACAAAGCAGATATGTACTCTTCTGAACAGAGACAGGGAAGAAATGTTTTTCTGGAGCACAGGTGGAGAACAAACGGTGCTTTCTGTCTTTTTGGGTGGGTAGAGGAGTAAGGAAAGGAATGGTTAGGTCCTCCTTTTCATTAGGCTCCTTTTCATTAGGATGCAAAGCCATAATTTGATGGAACAATTTCTGTAGAAAAAAAATGCACTTTCATTGAAATAGAAATGTTTTATGAGACAATGTTGTTATTGATGACATTTTTTATAAGAAGCATTTCCTTTAGATTTTTCTCCTTTGCTACACATCATTTTGAATTTCTATACTATACCAAGATGTTAATTTTAATGTCAGGATTGGTTAGGTTCAGCCTCACTGAACTGGGGACAATGAAAGGTGGAAGAGTCACACTGCATTTTGGAAAAATGTAAGAGACAATTAAGTTCCTTTATACAAGAGTCTGGAAGCCCAAACGGTTAGAGCTTTCAGCCAAAAAACAGGCACATGCAAAAGCATGTGGGAAGGGTGTTTCATTGACTGTTGTCTGGGTAAAAGGCCATCTGAGATGCAGCAAGAAAACATCCTAGAAACAGAGACAGAAAAGGGCATTAAGCCAAGGATACACTGAGAACACACGCTAGGAGTGTGATCTTGATATAAACTCAGAAAGCAAATGCTTTGGACTAAGTGTCAAACAAAAAAGGCCAAGAGTGTCGAGTAAAGAATGGCGGGCAAAGAAATGGTTTTCTGATTTTGGGTACACAAAGCATTCTGCATTCTCTATACATAGGCAGAAACACAACGAGGATACCTGGGTCCATTCCTTTTTTCACCTCATAGCTGCAACTACACACTGCATCCCATATGGTGGTCAACCACTGAGATCCAAAATGGGAACAATATTTTATATCAATGTATGTTATATTAAATAATATGAAAATAAAAATGAAATTAATCAAAACCAACAAAATTTAAATGAAATGCTTGACTCTATCAAAATGGAACATTTTGACAATGTTGATGAACTCAAATCAAAATGTTTCCAAATTTTCATTTTGCAGGAATTTAGAGCTTTTTCTTGGAAACACTTTTTTTTTTTTTTTAAGGGAAAATTCCTACCTTGGAAATTCAAGCTCCTGAGAATCTACCATACTGTAAGTATTTTTGTTTTGACGTTGCCTTGGCTAAGATGTATAAACTTAGATAGCACTGTGGTCAAGACATTTTTCTTTATCTACTCTTATGACTCACTGAAGCAACAGTCTGCCTTACAGAAGAAACTCGTAGCATTAGTTTCCAAAACAAAATAATTGCTGTGTATTACTAGAACTGTGGCAGCAATTTCTTTTGATGGCTAGTATTGGTTTTGTTTGGGTTGGGTTTCATTACATTTAGGAAAAGCTCCACATCTTAGAATAAGTATTATAAAAACAGCTGAGAATTACAGTGTTGCATCCAGTGTGCTGGGACAAAAAGGGCAGGATTTCACTCACAGATTATTTCCAAAAGGCACTACTTTTTTGTGTGTTTCCCTTCACATTCTCTGGACAAGTATATCTGTTTCATGCTACACTCATGGCAGAGCTCAATTTAACCCTACTTTTCTATTATAAAAAGCATACACTGAGCATTGGCTGTGCATGAAGATATTTGATGTGAAAATCCTGTCAGTTTTCTGCTATTCTGTACATCCATATGTCCATTTAATATTTTAATGTGGTTTTTTTTCCCCTGTTATTCAGAAAGGTGTCATATCTTGCATAATGGGAAGGCATTAAAATAAAGTTCACTTGTTAGCAAGACTTAGGCATGGTATCTGCACTCAGCGTGGCTGAAATAATTGAAATAAAGCAAATGAGAACAGCAAACAAGCAATTCTGACAAGCAAGTGTATCTTAAACTCCCATTTTCAAATCAAAGAACACAAGGAGATAGAAGACCAACTGTGTTCAAAATTGCCATTGACTTCTGATGGAGAACAAATTACAGTAAAGGGTTAACACTTCGATGGTTTTTGAAGCGAATGAGGAGAAACTTCTATTGCTGCTTTCCAGCCTGTGCATTTTGCTAATCTATATTTGGCTTCCATTGTAACATTCTCCTTCCACATAGCAATGCATTTGGAAAAAGTGAATTTTTGTCACACTGCTTGCCAAGTATTTTAAACTGACACCAGCTATGACTAATGACAGTGCTGGAATGTGCTGTTCTCAGTAGAATAGAGGCCTGTACAGACCTAGGAGTTTCCTGGGGTCCAGCTTCTGTCTGTTCAGGGGGCTGGTGCCATACAGCAGTGAATGATGTTCAGAGTGAACCAGCTGTATTTCCTCCAGACTGGCTTTTCGACCTCGAATTCGCTGAAAGAAAACAGCAGAGGCCTACAATATTCCACTGACAATATTTAGGGAGAAAAAAAAAAGTAAAGGTCCGAAATAACATTTAGTATGATTAATAATGGGTTGAAATTGCGTCATGCAGGAATGTGACACTGATTTGTTTATTAAAGTAATGCTATATGAAAAACAAATGCGTGTGTGGTTTATCACAAATGCTTCACTTAAGTCTTAGCAGAGTTAACTTAATACAGGGTTTCACATACAAGAAAAAGAAAAGATTCTGCCTCTTTTCTACATTATATTAAGAGGTACAACCAAAAGCTGAAATATTTCTTAAGTAAGAAAGCTGGCTAGAAAGTTTCTAGTTTAAAGAGCAAAAACTTATTCACACCTGTAAGCTGCAGATGTGTTCTGAATAAGGATTAATGTTTTTTGCATTACTACTAGTACTTGTGATTTATGCTACTAGGAAGAACATGATTACAGTGAGGAGAGCCAAGGAGAAGAAGGAAATTAAAGTTTAAATGCTTTAATAAAATATTTTAAGTATTTCTATATCTTTTTTTTTTAATGTATGTTCGATATCCCAGGATCATTTTTGTTGTTACACATGACGACTCACTTGCTTCCTTACATTTTTATAAGTGGATTTTGTGTCTTTAACTGTATCTCCAGCCTGTACTCTCCCCACTTAAATCAGTGTTAAAAAATCTGGGATGTCTTTCTATAAATCCATCGACATTTAATCACTTTAGGAAGGAAGGAAGGAAGACAGGAAAGAAGGAAGAAAAGATTAAAACTAACACTTTCTTATTCAGCAGATCTGTTCCTTGTATGTATTTGGAGTTACAGCTTGTCATAAAAATGTTTACTTCTCTGCTTGTGCTTGTGCTAGTGCTGCACAACCTTTGCACACATAGCAACACGAAGCAGATTTTGTTCAGGTTTGGGCATCATAAATAGCACTGTCAACAAAGTTCTGGTCCCAAGATCATCTTTCCTGTTGATATTGGATAACGCAGAGAGAAAACAGCCCATTTTTAAGGTCTTGGACTCTATTTACAGAGCTGGTCCTTATGAACACCTGGGGTAAAACCTCTCACGACTTAGACTGTGGGTCCATCCAACTGTCAAGGTCTATAGATAAACAGGTACAGAAGTTATCTAAATAGTTCATCTTATTTTTAATAGACTGATTAGCCTGTTACAGAAATACCACTCAATTCTAGTTTTCTGAGAGGTTAAGTTGTAATTCTTATCATATCCCTCACCTACTCATGTACATCAGAAGACAGCAACCTTTTCACTAGGAGAAGAAAGCAATATTATAAATATTAAAGAGGATGTGCACTGCGGAGGAAAGGAGCTGCCTAGGGGGGGACAGAAGAACCATGCACAATTTATATTCAGTTAAGCAGTGGCAATTTTTTCTGACTAATCAGGAAAAATATCCTAAGAGTTAGATCTAGATGACTGTGGAACAAGCTCCCCCTCAGGGAAATGGTGAAAGCCCTATTTCTTGCAGTGTTTAAAGCTTAACTGGACACAGCAGTGGAAAAAACATTTTAGGGAATGATCCAAGAACTAAATGACTTAATAAAACCTTTTTTATCTCTAATTTCTTCAAGCCTCTCCCAGTCTCACATGAGAATTTGTAGCAGTGCACTCACATCCTTTTAACACACAGTTGCACAATCAAAATCAGCACATTTTGTTACTTCATGGAGTCAGTAAACTCTGTAATGGTTCTTCTGGGTCAGATAAAATGTTTTTCTTCACAAGTGAGGTGACTGGTAACATTTATTCATTCATCCATTCTCATTAAGGTCTATGTTTCTAATAAGCTGCTTTAAAATCTGTATACCCAATTCTCCACAGCAAAACTAGGAAGGGAGACTGGCTTTTAGGACAGCCAAAACAAATGTGTAAGAAAAGTAAAGAGGTATTTTATGAAGGTCACATCAAAGAACCTTTGATTTCACACTCTGGTCATATATTTTCTACAAGTTATACAAAAACTCTAAGAGATGTTTAAGAGAGTTAATTGTCTGGCTCTTTTTAAAGTGCTGTTAAATGCCATATCACTAACTATAAAAAGACCCACAGCTAGCCATTTTTCTTACAACAGGGAGCTCTGTGATATCCTATGGAATATAGTGATTTGCACTAACAGAGTAAAGTCTTCAACTGGCCTCCCCAAAACATTTTGCAAAGGAGCTACCTGCCACCCAATATTGCCAGCCAGACTGTTTAGGGCAGAAACAGGTTGTGCAGAAATCGAGTAGCACCGCACAGGATGCCCCACTCCAGGCTGCTCCCAGCAGTGAGGTCCTTGGGGCACAGCCAACAGCTGAGCTGCCAGGGCAGGCACAGCCCAGAGCTGCTCTTTCTCCATGGCTTCTCCAGCTCTCACCTTGAGCATTCACAAGCACATTTACACAATAAATGGCAGGAAGAAAGGGAAAGGTAAACGGTGCACATGTCTGTGCTGTTTCTGCATTCCCCTCTCCTCGTTTACTGTTCCTTTCATCCCACCCTTGCAGTATCTCTGCCTGTCAAGCCATTTTCAATAATTAAAATTCCAACTGTCTAAGGCTCTACACAGAGGAAAAAATAATCTATATTAAAAATTACCTGTAATAATTGCTAGAACAGTTTTTCTTACACAATGATGTCAGGATTAAGCAGATCTACAAAAGCACATGTCATAAATCTGTTGCCAGAATCTGGAATCATGTAACTTCAGTTATACAAAGTCATAGTTTCTAGGTCTCACTGGCATGAGTTATCAGACAACATAACCTATGCATTTGTATAACTTTACATATACATTTTTATCCACATCTTTTTTACTTTAAAGTGTCTTTCTTAATTTTTATAGGCCGTGGTAGTATCAAAAGCCTAAAGTGTAGTAGAAAGCAGAAAATTGGCATAAAGCCAATAAAAAGGAGAAATAGCATAGGAGAACTTATGAGCAGTATTTGTTTCATTCAGGGGGATTTGAACACATCCATCCGCCTACTACATCCTTAGTAGAAGGCAAGTCATCCTTTTCTAAGGTGCACAACAATTTGTGTGTTGGCTTTCTCTTTTGACATATGCAGTTCCCTCATCAACAGAGACATTTATACATCTCAGGAGAGCAAAATACTGCACCTGAGTGCTTCGAAAAATCAGTCTAGAACTAGAAAGTTATTCTCCCCCACAATGGGAAAATGCTTTCACCTTTCACAGAATTTAAGGTCAAAGAGGTCTAGTCTGGTCTTCTGTTTAAAATAGACCATTAAAGTTTCACACAGATAACCTCTATTAACCTGAAGATTTTGGTTAGACTTTCAGCAGACTAAACTCTTGCACAGTCAGAGATTCAAAAAGACAAAGGTGACACTGCCTATTTCTCTCTGCTAAACTAACAGGAATTGTTGACATAGCTTAAGGAATATTCCTCACTCAGGTCTCTCAGTGTAAGGTGTCCATTGCCTTTGCTGCAGCTATTTGTATGGAGATGGTGTCTCTGAAATTCCCTTAGGCTATCTAGTTTGTAAACAAGGTCTTCAGAGTTTTTCTTGCTTTTCTGGGATTTCTCATAGTTGTTAAATTCTCTCTTGTTTTGAAAAATGCACACAGATAACATGGATCTTTTGCCAGTCAGTACACCCACATCACTTGCTCTCTCTCCATTATGTGCAAGTGTGTCTCCGGCACGCATGCACCCACACAGAGATGCATTTACTCTCTTCATGTGTTTTAGTCCTCCAGTACCTAACCTCAATATGTTCAACACCACAAAGATTTTTGCTCTTAAAGACTAACTTTTCCTGTATTATTTCTTCTTTAGTGGCAAACTGAGGTTCACAGCATGGAATTTTTTTGTCTTTTTCAGTATATGTGATCTGTCAGATTCAAAGGTTTTTAAATCTTTAAATTCTTTCCTTCTCTCCCCTTTGGTCCATGAGATGTGGACAGCAGGAGGTGTAAGATGTCTCCCTAATCCAGAAAACTACCAAAATTCAGATCAAATTCCAGACTGAAAAGAAAAACATTGCTGGACCACAGTCCCTACAGGAAGTGGAGGTGGGGGCACAAAGTGGGACCGTGTCTACATTCTTCTTTTCTTTTCTAAAACTGTGCTGATCCGTGTAGGCTAATGTCAGTCATGTGTGCATAAATTATGGCCCCAAAGGAGTTATGTAAATACTTCCTCTCCCTAGAACAAGTAGAAAGCAGACACCACTACTAAAACATAATTCAGTCCTTTTTTTTGGTCTCAAAGGTAGGGCAGCTATGCATTGCTCTTTACCAAGAGAAAATTGCAGAAAAAGATAGTGGATGTTTTTATGCCAATCTTTGCATCTTTTAGCTGACCTGCTCTGGTGCTGCATTCGATAACTGTTCTTCATCTGTCAGCCTTTAATGAACACAGAATAGGTATTTCAGTAAACATACACAAAACTTTTAAATTAATGCAAAAATATTGTCTGAATTTTATTCTTCCAATACATATATACCAGGACTATAAAAAAGTCTGCTACGGGGGGAAATTACTCCACCTTCTTGCCCTGGACTCAGTCAGGGACTGGTCTCTCAAATCCAGCTCTCCAGGGCTGGCCATGGTCTGAATGTGTTTATTCTTTGTCCTGGGGAAGCCAATGGGGGAACTAATCTATCTATTTGGAAGAGTGATATGATTAAAAAATATTCTGAAAGCTCTAACTAATTTCTCAATTTAGCAAAAATCCTTCAAACTGTTGTTTGAATAACTCTAGAGCTCAAATATCTATCGCTAGAAAGACAAAATACTGTCTGGGGAAGCAAGTCCTTTTGGCTGTGTCTGCAGCAGTAAATTAAGCAGTGCCAGGAAACATTTCCAGGCAGAGGAACGCAATCATCTGTACTATTAAATTGCTAAAGTGGTCCTTCACACCGTTTTGGCTGAGCAGCAACTAGCACTCTCCAAACAACTCCCAGACATGGTTTGGTCACTGGCATGGGCCAGGGAGCATTCCTGGTAGTATGAACATGGGCCTTTCCATGCCAGTTGGCCGCAGTGGTGGAGAACAGTCCCAGGCACATTTTATTTTGTAGTGAAGACACAGCTTTGAGTACCCCAGTCAAACCTTGTTATAATTTTACCAAGTTATATTTTAAAAATGCTATATATGGGGTAGATTAATCTACCTAGATTAATCTATTAACTGCAGCAAGCATGGTGTCAGCCCAGTATATATGACTTCTGTCGTCCCATGCCCAGTTAGAGATGACGGTTCTCCGTGCGTTTGGCCAGTCGTCTCTCCAGGGCCACAGACCTGAGCTGCGTGAGAGGGGTTAATCCACACCACATGATTTAGGAAATGCATTTTTCTTCCTGCTATAGATAACAAAGATCATATAGATATAGATTGTTCATTTTCATAAGGGTTTCTTGTTAGATTAAGAAAATAAGGAGGGCCCCCCTGGCACGAGTCTGTGGCTAAGGATACACACATTGCACGGTAACAAGATCTGAGCTACCTCTGACTGAACTAGCTTTGATCCTGAAACTCCTCATCAGACAGAGTGGAACTGCAGCCCTCTTGTGGGACTATTGTTTTAGTAAAAGAGAAAAAAAGAAGGTTCACAGTTACTGCAGAGGATTTCCTAAGTGGCTGTTGCAGGTTGCTGTTCCTAAGTTGCCCTTCAGACTTGGTGCATGAGGCAGTGCACGTTAGAAAACTTGACCAGCGATTTCCCCACTCCTTCTGACAGAAACTGTGGGAAATTATACTGAGAAATTATATTGAGAACTACTAATGTCTGGGGGAGGGCATTCAGAAGTCAGTAAAAGAGACAGTGCAGTTGCCCATGATGCTTTGACTCCGCATCCTCAGTGTGGTATATTCCAGAATGCAGCTTAATGGTAGCCTATTATTTCTTGAATAATGCAATAACCACTCCTTTAGTGACGTGAGTCATATATTCAGCTGAATAACTTTTCTAAAGAATCAGACCACCAATTAAGTGAATCACTGCAGCCTTCCTTATTTTGAAAAGTGAGCAGATTTAAGGACGTGTTTGATGTCAAGCAAGTGCTAGAGAAGTCAGTGAAGCAAAGGACAGATTGCATCATCAATACAATCCTGTCTTTAGCTGCATAAGAGGATCAAGATAAACACCAGATCTATGCACCAGCTTCACACTGAGGTTCCTCAAAGTTTTATCATCAGAGTTTACATTTTGACAGCTCCTTTCACATTCCAGTCTCATTTCAAAGCACACAATGGGAGTCAAAATTAACTGAATGCCAGTCGACATGAAGTGACTTATTTTCTCTCTGCCCACTCACCGGATTTTGCAAGACCTAATAGGTTATATTTCAGTTTTTGAAATTGCAGAAGTGTAAGAGGAAACTTTAAATCTTCCAGGAAATTATTGGACTGCATGCACCTCAGACTAACCTATACCACTTTTCTTTTCTTATTTACACCTTTTGCAGATCCACACAATTTTCTGTTCGGCAATATCTGATTATTACTGAAGAAAGTAATACATAGTAGCGCATTGTGTTTTACTTATTTTCTCTCTTTTTTGTCTTTTCTTTATAATACGGGTCCTGAGTCAAGAAGGTAGCTAGGCCTTATTTTAGTAAAGCACTCAGCTGTGTCTTTAACTTACTCCTTAAGTATGTGATCCCACCTGTGAAACCACTCATGTAATATGTGGCCTAAAGGGCCTTGCTGAAAGAAAGTCTTCTTGAAGACTGAAAAAAAATATCCAAGCTAAAAAAAAGAATTAGCCTGTTAGAGTGCTGCCATCTAGTTAGATGATGAGTGTATACAACAAATCCATTTATAGTGCTTACAATATCTCACTGCCCAGTACACTAGGCTACCTGCAGAAAATCTTTGTGGCCAGTCACTAATAGCTAATCAAAGGGACCTATTGTACCAGTTCCTTTGGGTTTGTAAAAACCTAAGTATATAAAGAAAAATAATTAAAGAAAACAGAGCATAAGAACCCTGGCAATTTTGGGATCCTGCAAAACATAAGCGAATTTGTGTTGAACTTTGTTAACTTGTGCTGCAATGCGATAAGCAGTTGCCACAGGCTTCTGCAGAAGTTGACAGTGCTGCACAATTCATGGGAAGCAGTGAATGGTAGGAAAAGGCTGTTTTTCAGTAACCCAAGTCATATATGAACCTTGGAGTCCATATTTGATTTAAGCATGATGTTTTAATATGTAATTTTGTGAGGGAAGTCAAAGCAGAAGAAAGTTCCACATTTGCTCTCATATTGTCTAGAAGATTGTGCTTGAATGTCTCGGGTTTTGACTTGGTACCCATTGTACACCAGGCAAAAGGAAATGCTATGAAAACAGACTTTAGAGTGCGAAATAAGACAAGATGCAATGTGCTTATGGAGTGATACAAAGTACATTAAAAAAAACGCAGTGTTCTATGCTACTACAGAAGTAAAATCCTTAGCTGCTTGAAAAAGTTAAGAAATGTGCTATTGAAAGGACTGCACTTGCCATTTGACTACTGCTTGTCTACCTCCTGTATCAAGGTGAGGAACACAGTCATGTCTGGATTTTATACTCTGATGCATGTGGATAAATGACTTTCATTGTGTAAATTCTTTGTTTTCTGATTGGGAAATGTGCTTCTCTAAAATGCATTGGTTTAATATTGTCAGTTAAGTCCAAATAATTCCTAAGACAAATTACTCTCTTATTACAGAAGTAAGACACATTTAGGATTAATAAATTTGTCATTCACTTTAACAAGTCAAGTGTCTGGTCTTTATTTTTTATTACCTCACACTTGTTTAGCAACCCAGTTTCTTGCAGCCTTGACCAGATGCTTTGGATCCTTCCAGCATGTTCAGGGTGATTAGCATAGTTGCCACACATACACTGGTGCTTCAGCATCAGACTGTCATACACAACACCTTCATCACAAAGACAGCACGATAAGAAACAGTAAGTGAAAAAAATGCAAGTTATACTCTTCCATGTCATGCATACTATAGCACAACTGGATCTTATTTGTCAGTAAGAGCAAGATGAAAATTCTGGATCTTAATTCCCCTTTACTCTGGGACATCCTGAATTTTGAGTTAAAAGGTACATCTTGTAATATTGATAAGGTAAAAATGAATTCTAAAGAAATTATACTAATAAACATAATTAACTGTAAATAAGAAAGGAAATCAAGTGGTGTCTTGTTAAAGTTTTACGGCTAGAAAAAAATCAGTCCTATTACTGAATCACTTATTTTCTCTTTCTCTAATGGGTAAGGTCAGTTAAGGCTGTTAATCAAGCTATATATAACAAGAAAAGGCAATATATGCACAGCAGTGTAAGGAAAATCATTCAGAAAAAGCTTTTAAAATAAATTTTGAAATGACAATGCCACTCTATATCTGTACTGCTTAAATAATACTATATTAATTCCAGATCTCAAAGCATATCAGATGAAAATTTCAGAGAGTTGCAGCAGTGGCAATCAGAGTCCTTTTTCATTAAAACAAAAAGTTCCACCCACTACCCAATTAGGACCAAATCCTGTTGTTAGACTGCAATGCAAGGTTCCTTTTCAATTTTCTACGCTCATTTATCCAAGGACAGAACAACTTTATACAGAACAGCTATCAATATCACATTGTTCTGTAGCTGCGTGTTTGTAGCAAAAGAGAAATTTTAGCGACTAGACTAAACTCAATTTTCAAGGCTTTCAAACCAAGTCTGAAACACTGAAAAATGATTTTATTTATTTACTTGTTGTTTGCATTTCCCTCAGAAATGTCTGGAACAAAAATATTTTCCTTACCCCTGTGAACCGTTTTCGTTTGGGAAACATTTGGAATTTTCTTCCCCTTACAGTTGAAAAGGACTCAAATTAACAATTTCTTCAAGCTGCAAAACTTGGCATCCCAAATTTCTTTCTTATGTGCCACCACTACTGGGGACGCCAACACAGTTCTGGGAAAATTGTGTTAGCCTGCTACTGAAAAGTCAGCCAGTGAAGCAAATACAAAATTAAAGTCCAGATTCAACAACATGCTCATTACCGCCCTTATTCAGCAAAGCTCTTGAATGGATATTGAACTTTATTAAAGCGTTTAAAAATTCTACTGAATAAGAGTCTGTATACATTGTGGGCAATGCGAAGTTAAGGTTCTGAGATAATTCAGTTAGAAGCCAGCCAGAAATTATGCTGCTCTAGAAATATTTATGCTGCCGTATTTCTTAGCTCATGCACTTTAGAACTGATCCTTTGGGATCTTGCTATTTAAGCCAAAATGATAATACAAAAATTATTGTTAGCATAAGGAGAATGCAACAATAATACCTATGTGCAGCATGACTAAGTTTATGCTAAATGATTAGCTAACAAACAAAATAGCTCATTAGCAATAAATTCTTGTATTTACTTTCTTGGTTTGTTTTCTTTTAAAGAAAAAAAAAAGAACCAGTGAAAATCTGGAGTTAATAAACTAATGCAGCTTAAAATCTTTTCTGGCATTGTCAAAGCGGTTAATAATTTCCTTTCTCTGCAGTTATTTGCACTGCACCATTTATAAGTTTTGCTGCTCTATCATCAGGTCTTATAAGTTATTTGAAATAGCAAGTATGCGCAGAAATAAGTGCATGCTCACATACCGTGCCTTCCTTTTCTTGGCACCCAAAGTTTTAACTTCTACAGTCTGTTGCATACCCAGACTGTACAGTTTGCCAATGGTCATTATACCATTAGATAGAAAACTTTCCTCCCATCCCCCTGCCCAACAGAGAAGGTGTTCAGATGTTAAATGTACATGCATCAGGACTTTCAGAAGCACTTAGGCAGAGTAGGCAGTTATATCCAATGGATTTGAATGGAAACACTTGTTAAATGTTAAGAAAAGCAGCTGAAAGTTGAAAGTATCTCCCGCATTCCACTCTTTCAATGAATGTTTTATTCTAATTATCACTGCTCCCTACAGGCTTAGGTTTGCCTAGTCCAAATGGCAGTTAATAGAAATAATAGATATGTATTTTACTATGTTATTACTATACAGAATCAAGATGTTACGGAATAATGGCGCTTTTTGATGACCTATCTCAGGGTTGCAGCTGAACAGTGGTTTTGAAGTGAAATGCTGAAACTGTATTTGGGATGCCTCCTCTGGTTGACATAGATATAAATGTCCCTTTCTTAGTGTACTAGTATTTTTTCCGAAATAGAATATAACTAAAAATGTGACTTCATCGTATGTGAATTATTTTGTCCGAATCAAAAATCAGTTTAATCGGGTCAGATCAGTATTGCATGGCAGAAACATCTCCTCCAAACTTTTAAATAGTAAGATATTCACACCACTGAGTGTAAAATTTATTTCTAGCAGGATTAATTGACTTAAGAAAAGACTGAAATATATGTTTTCATTTATTGCAAGCATCTAAATTGATTTAGGATGTGCAAGTAATTCAGATGTGTGGCTGCTGGTCATACAGCACATGTGCTTGGTACAATACCACAATGCAGCAGGAGAGCTTACTGCTAAAAATAGCCTGTAGGATTTCCCTAACAGGATTCAGCCAATAATCTCCCCACCCCCACAAAAAGGAGAGAGAGGGATACAACTGTTTTCAATTGCAGACTGCTGTGAAATATTAATAAAAGATGGTTATTCTGTCTCTCCAGAACAAATGCCTACAGCCAGATTCTGCTCTCAGATTCCCTGTGTAAATCTGAGCAGCTCCACTGAGACTGGTGGATTTATTCTGGATTTACACCAATATTACTGAGGTCAGAATGTGGCCCTGATGACAGACTGGAATGGTGGCACCACTGAACCATATAATGACAGAGAACACAGGACAAAAGAAACTGAATTTGCATTAAGTCAGAAAAAACAAGGTCTTCCTGGTGGGGACTCCCTAGCACTCATTCTTTGCCAAAATACTTTATTTGGGTCAGGTTCTATTAATAATATTTTAAACAGAGGGGAGAGAAAGAAACCTAAAAATTTTTGGCTAACAGCATGCTTTGAAGAAGGTGAAATGTCCTGGAGAACAACAGTACAAATAAGAAAACCCAAGGGAAGAATATCTAATAAATTATTCAGAAATCTGAACTAAATAATGTCAAATATTCTGTAAACCATCTAAATGAACATCACATAGATTTTACTTTTTTTTCCATCTTTAACTCATTATCTTGGGCATATACTGCATATATATTGCATAGCTCTCTCACAACCATCACCATTCTGATTCCCTTCAGATATTTGGCTAAGAGCATTTTCTCTTGTGACTCACAAAAATACAGGCTCATTTTGATCCCTATGTAATGTTCTCCCACAAGAGTTTTCCTTCTACTTTTTTTCTCTTCCAAGAATATATTGTCTTTAAATAGGAAAAAAAAAACCAAAACAACAAAAAAAACCAGTAAGAAATAATTCAAGACAGGGAGGTGTTTTTATATTAATTTCTAAGGTCTGAATTTGACCTCACTTCATGCTGTACTAGAATTTTCTCCCTTTTCACCACACATTCCTTCCTTTCATGCTTTTAAAAATGGTAGTGTTGCAACTGCTGTGGACAACGGCTGGTTACATCTTGTGCCCTCTTAAGGGAGCAAGTCACACAACCACAGGATAGCTCAGGTCGGAAGGGACCTCCAGGGATCTCTAGTTCAACCCTCGACACAGAGCACATCAGCACTGTGATCAGACCACGTTGCTCAGGGCTCTCATCCCAAAGGATTTTGGAAAGGCTGTATAAGAATAGATAAAAATTGGGTCTGGCTTTCTTTCCACTGACCAATGAATAAATGCTAGGAAATACTATACACAAATAACGCCATTCTATACCATAACATATCATACCATATCATACGTTAGTAATACGCATATCTATCTAGTTATTCACAGAAACTGCATTAGAACTGTTGATGGTGCAAAGTCTCTGTTCGTTGTCACTCCAAAGGCGTTAATCCCATAATATAGAAAATAGCTCTATTTTCAGTGCACTCAGAAAGTGCAGTGATACAGGTTATACATGTAAGTCTGTAAGCCTGGAGGCATATCAGGGAAAGGGATTTCTTCAAGCAGAAAGAAAAGGCTTCATTGTGACTGCAGAAGTGTATGCTCTGATTCAAGAAAAGAAGAAACAAGGATTCAAGAAAAAGGTGTTTCGGATTTGGAGAAAGGAGTTCAGTGAAGAATTGAGAATCTCAGTTGGAATAAGATGCATTTTTTCTCTCTTTCCTTCTCTCTTTCTTCCTCTCTTTCCACTGTTGTTCATGTAGTAACGCTTTACTAAAGGGGTAAGGTTAAACTTTCTGCCTGATTTTAATACACCCTGACTCTGCATATGCACTGTCTGCATTTCCATTGCAGAACCCGTCATGCTCCCATGTGTCAGATCACGAGCCCTTCATGCCTGGTATGTCCCATTTCCTGGTACCATCTCTGTTCAGTGTTTGTTCTACATCGTTTCATTCCTTCTCTTGTTCTTCCATCTCAACTTCACATTTTATTTCTTAATCAGTTCCACTGATGCCACAAGTCCCCAGATATATGTAACCCCCTTGACCCTAGTCCCCTTTCTGCAGACTTATAAAGGGAGGTGTCAGTAAACCTTAGCAATCAGACTGAAATGGCAGCCTTTACATTTGCAGCTCCATTCAACATTTCCAGCGGAACTGCAGACTTTTGAACAGGACATTGAAGCCTACACACAGTGAGCTCACTTTTGGTGTTCTCTGTGAATCTTTTAGAATGAGTTTACAATGTTTTGAGGACTCTATGAACCACAACTAGAAAAACAGTGGCCTGGTTTAATAATCCTGTCTATACACAGCTGGTCTTTTTACAGAAACTCATGGAAAGTGAATTAGCATGCTTCTTTCTGTACAATCCAAATGCTTGTTACCCAACAAGTGAAATTCCTAAATTGACAGTGTCTTACAGAAGAATTATGTCTTTCATCTTTGAATGTCATCTTGCATCCATTTACCCACTTACTTGCAGTGCTTTAAGGACATCTCTTTTTCTTTTGCAGTTTTTTTCTTTAAAATAATAAATTTTTGCTTTCCAAGTTGACATGCTAATTGGAAAGATGGGAGAGCACACTGTCTTGCACAGTCACATACAGTGCCCATTAAGGACTCCATCCTACATCAATCCATGGTCATGGCCTGCGGAGCTGTAAGCTTTCAGGTCATGGCAAGTTCTGCCAACCGAAGTGAAGGAATTAATACTTCTGGCGGAAAACTGAATAAACAGTACCTCCGAGTATTCATTTCCCCTTGTGTACAAAGTGAAACTTTGCTTCTAACCATTCTATGATGCTATACTGAGATTCAGGCTCTTAAACAGATAGACCCTCTTGCAAGGTTAGGTTACCCATAATAAGAAATGGGGTTGCTATGGTCATTTTTCTTCCTTTCACTGAAGTTTTTGGGGGTTCTAATCACTCTGCTTTGGACAGCCCAGACCATACCAATCGGAGATGCTCCCTGAGTGACTGGACTGCCCAGGGCCTGACCATTAAACCTTCCTCTGTAGAGACTCCACACAACTGCTGAAAGACACCAAAGCTGTAGCCAACATCACCTTCCAGTAATGGCTACACCATTGCTATTTACAGATGAGAAGACAAACGTTCTGGAGTGAAAGCAACCTTGTAGCATAGGCTGACTTGTCAAATGAAGACATTGAGAATTATAATGCAGCTTTCTAACTTACTGGTGGTCTTTCTTCAACTTATTGGTGGTGTCTTTACAAAATAGGCAACAAGAACACAGAGAAAAGAGGACAGGGAAATGAAAGAAAAAGTTATAAATGACTTAAAGGCACCAAAAATGCACCTGTTGCTATATTGCCAGAGCCAGTCAATGATAATAATTTATGACTGTGTGAATATTAACCCTGTGATTTATCAGCTGCGCTGGTTGACTTGATGCCGGTACAGCATCATAAAACCAAGGAACAGTAAGGCTAAAACTCAATGCATTGCTGCAGGAGGTATTCGAGGCATTTAAATCTGTTGATCCTACATGAACAAACGCATTTGCCCTGCCTATTAAAAGCAGTCTTTAGGGAATCCTACCAGTCGTGTAGACATGCTGGCTGGGCTGGTCCATGGCTGGGTGAGGTAATGTGGAATCAGCAGGGGAAGATGGGGTCCTGGACACCGGCCGATGTTTATCTAATCCCACCATGCCAACTGTAGCCATCTGAGCCTGGTAGATTTGCAACTGGTGGACACGCCGATGCGCCAGGAACTCCTGTTTCCAAGAAAACAGCACAGTAGAGAGAAATGTGAGACAGGATCAAGTAAGATACTGAGGGAAACATGTCAACAAATTAAGTTCATTAGGTCAGGGCTGTAATAAACAGTGTGGAAAAAAAAAAAAAAACCAACAACAACAACTTGCACCTAAGACCTAGTCAATAAATCCATTTAACAGATGTTTTCACACTGATGGTGTAGGCTGCTGACTTTGCTGGAGAGGAGGTGATGGCAGGCAACCTGTCAATTCTCCCTGACAGAGGAAAAGACGGCTTCACGTGCAGAGGCTTATAGAAGACAAAGGTTTTTCTAATATATTGAATACATAATATGATGTTAGAATATGCACTTTGTGATCCTACACAAATAAAAATAAAATAAAATCTTCCTATAGCACTGAAAGTGAAAAGCGGTGTCCTTACTACTCAGTACCAAATTCACTGAGCAACTGTGAGTCAAGTTTCTACAGAGGATTCAGTTCTCAGAGCTCCCTGGGAAACAGGAACAATTTGCACATAGGTTTTCACAAATCATTTAGAAATTCAGGAATTGTTACCTGCGATCCCACTTAGGGACCATCTTTTTTTGTCATAACTGCTGCCAGCTGTAGGCAGTGCCAAACACTTCAGGAAAGGTAGACAGGTGAGAAAAGACCGAGAGCAGAAAGGAAGATTTCCTCCTCTGTTTTGTTTGTCAACAGATGGTGACTTTTGCTGACATGACAAAGGCTGAAATCCTGCTGAAGGCAGTAGAAACCTTGGCATTCACTCACTCCACAGAGTAGGATTGCTTTGCAAGTCCTTTTCTTTCTGTTTTTCTCTTTTTGTGCATATAGTCCTAGAACCTCAACAGAAAGTGCATGCAAGAGAGAGATTTCCAAACCACTTTGCACTATAAATTCAGCTGAAATTCACACTTCTACCTTAGAACTGCAGACTCTGTTTATCCTCACCTGGGCTCGGTATATACATATGCAGGTATATATATGGCATATATATGGCTTTTTTTTTTTTAACCCAGTAACAATCAGCGGTGCTGTATGCTGTTGTTTGGGACAGCAGCTCAGAGGCCTGGCCTGGCCAAGGAGGGATTGCTGGGTGCTCAGAGAGGTGAAGCAGAGTTCAGGCTGAGCGGGAGGGCAGGTGGGAGTACCCGGGAGTACCCCAGCCCCTCGCGCGCTGCAGGACGCATCCACAGCTTGTGGGAAGTGAGAATGTCTACCCTGCGTGTAAAAAAAGAGGCCTTTAAGAAAACAAGTGCTCATCAATAACAGCTGAAATGAGAACAAATGCTTTAAAAGGCAGCCTCAAAACCCACATTAATATGTAAGGTCACCACTTCTGTGAAAAGACATAAGGTCATGGGAAGGGTAAATCACCTGGGACCTTGTTATAAGTGACTAAATAAAGAAAGAAAATATGAGTAAGCAAAAGGACATTTTACAATAAGTGGCTTGGTTTGGGGTCATTGAACCATTTCCCTTTCTTTAAATACAGTCCCCAACTTCTCCTATTGCTTTTTTAATGTATGATGGCAGGATGGTGTTATATATTCCAGATAATATCTGGAGGTATTTGAACAGGTCTGTTTATTCGCTTTCCTTATGAACATAACATAACTTACGATTTAGGAATTCTTTCCTGAAACGCCTAGGTGCCTTGTTACTTAGTTTCACTAATGATTTTAATTGTGATAAACGTTCAGAGGAGATAGTTTTTGTGCTCCTAGGTATGCACATCTTTTGTAACCTTTGTTGGGGGTGCATGTGATTGGAGAGGAGAAGCGAAGAATGCATGAACACTGTTGCGTTGAGTATTTCCCCTATGGAGAAGAGAAGCAGATGAATTCCTTGGTGAGGATTTAGCATTCACTTTCCTCAAGGCTGGCTTAGTGATCAATAAAGGAGGCACAGGAGGTATTTTGCTGTCTGTGGCACGATTACTCCCTGCATCCTAGGGTCAAGTGGTGACAGGAGCACTGCCTGTCTGATGCTAGTGTATTCACCATCTCTTGCCTACTCTTCCAAAGCATGAGAGCTAGCTCAGCAGTTCGGAAGAAGACAAACTCCTACCTGCAGGAGCCCGTCTTCACACAGAGCTTTACTGCCATACATGAAATCAGCAGAATGGTTGTTATTTCTGCTGCTCTCCTCAACCTCATAGGTTGCATTCATTACGGTAATTAAATAGCTGGTATCTGAGTAGTTCTTTGATCAAGGGAATTTTTGATACTGTCTTTCAGTGTTCACACTAACTCATGATAATTCATTAATTGAGTTCACTTTTCTGATAATTACTAGAGTACAGAAGACAAAAGAATTTGTTCCTTATTGGAATGCTCTTCAAGCTGTTAAGGGTGCATCAGTGTATTCTGGCAGTCTGCTTTAAACAGTATTATTTAAATATACTTCTTAAGGAAATCTTGGAAATTCAGCTATCAGTCAGGAGGGATTCATACTGTGCACGTATGGTTCTGTTTGGACTTTTCTCAGTGCCAGTAGACTCTGAGCTCTGAGCCTTTAGAGCTGCATCATCTAAGAAGATTAGGTGTTTGTGTCTATGTAAGCAATAGAAATAACACTATTTTTCAGGCATATGAACAAATCAAGGTAATTTTTTTTTTTTAATGCTAATCAACCTGTGAGAACATCACCTAAGAGCCAGACAGCCACATATTTCAGCAATTTGTCAAAGACCAAGAGAATCTGTTCTTGCTCTCCTGTATTTTCCTGCTAAACTGTGTTTTGTTTATATCATTCTTCCTTCCTGAAATGAAACCAGACACATACCTAGAATTTGACACATGCTTATCAGCATAATCAGTCCAGGGAAGGAGAAAATAACCTGTGGATGGTTGGATAGAAAGCTGCATGACACCTGTTTTAATTTCTGAGGTCACAGAAAACTGTTTGCCTGTGAAAACCTTTTAAAATTTGTTAAAAGTGCAGTAGTTTGTCTCACAAGGCTTACATTGAGGCTTGCGTACATCCTCTGGTGACTTCCAGATCCTTTAACTGTAATTTTAAAACTCTAGGCATCAGCAAAGTTTGGACTTGTTTAGCTTTTAGTCAAAGTTTTAACTTCCTGATTAGGTTTCATTTTACAGACAACAGGCACTCATGAAATACATATATTTTTTCCAGCCTCCTACATATTTATGCTGTGAGCATCTGAGATACTCTGTGTCACACAGACAAGTGGATTACTGCAATGAGTAATGTGGATAATCAACACACTTATCTGGCTCCCCAAATGCCCACCTGGCCTCTGGAAGGGATTAAAGCAACACAATGAATTCATCTTCAGGTTTTATGTCCTAGAGCACTGCAAACACATGTCCATCTCTCCAGCAATATGACAAAAGCAGTATTTGCACATCTGCAGGGCTAGTGATTTGTGTGAATATAGTTGCAGCATTTCTTAGGTAACCCGAGCCCTGCCTGCCCGGCATGGAGCCTGCTAGTTCCAGGTGCCTGAGATTAGTTCATTAGTAGAGGCAGGCAATTAGGGCCTCTGCCAAAGCCAGTGGAGCCATTCATCGTCTTCCCCAGAAACCAGCTCAGGCCCTCAGTAATTATTTTGAGGAAGATTTTTAGAATCAGTATCTAAAGAGAAGATGACCTGTTTAGAGGCATGGAAGGTAAATATTTGTTGTTCTCCTAGTATTACTGTAAGCTTTGTTGTTTTGGAGGAGCTGGAATTCATTTAGGTTGGTGTGAATACTCCTTTCATGTAGATGTGTGACTTGTACATTTTGGTGCTTAATGTTTTGTATATTCTGAGGATTTTAATGAGAACTCCTTCCTTATTTCTACTGGCTGTGAGACCTGGTGACCTACAAGTGTATTCAGTTGGATTGTTAGATGGTCTATGTTGGATGACAAAGCATAGGTGAATTGTCTGTGAATTAATGTTCCTTCAAGCTGTTATGTTTTGTGCAGAGAAAAAATATGTGGGGTTCACTTATAAAAACTTTTCTTACCTCTCAGCAGTCTACTTTTTAATTTAGTTTGATATGTTTATATCTAGTTTAATCACAGCTAAATAAATCCCAAGATTTGTATGTCTGTACCATAATCCTAAGTGTGTTTGGGCATATGCACACCTCTCTTCAGGGTTTATGCTTTGGCTTTTTTTCATTGTGGTAGAGACCTTTTTTTCTCTTAGGAAGTACAAATTTTGAATTTCTTAATGGTGAGGTTACTGCTTATAGTCTCTCATATACTTGTGGCCAGGTTTATAGCCCTCTGTTGTTGGGCCTCTACTGCATTCTGCTGAAGTATGAAATGTGTACTAACGTCTATTAACTATTAAAAATCTTTCCTGTATTGTCTATCCTCCTCTCCTCTTCCCTCCCACAAAAGCCTTACAAGTTTTTTCCTCTCAAAGCATTTTTTGGCGGTCTGTTCGCTAGTTAATTTTTTTTCTATAATTTCCACATTGCTTTCTGAAAATTACCCAAAGGACCAATTATTACTGAAGACAAAAAATACGTATGTGCTGCAGTAAGTTTCGCTCTAAGTGAGGATGAAAACAAAACCTGCCCAGCAGGAAGACCTGCTGCCTTCTGAGTACTTCCTCCAGCTCCTTCCCCTGAAAAGTATTTTTGACGCCTGCTCTGCTGTCTTGTCTCATCCAGTGGCTCCTGTTGGAGGCCCTAATCCTTAAGCACCTTGCAGACCCCCGTTAGTGACATAGAACAGAGTAATTTCAGGTCCTATCACTTCTCTTCCCCACCACCCTCTTTGACTTCCTAACTTCCCAGCACAGTTGTAGCTGAATGCATCCAAGGGGTGTCCAGGCCAGCCAGTGGCTGCATCCAGCAAAACAGCCTTTGCTTGCAGCAAAGCTTGGTCCTTCTTTAAGGTGCCCAAGATGGCAGCCTTGGCCCAAACCAAAATTGCATCATCCAAAGTCTGATTCAGTCAGAGATCTTGGGCACCCAGGAACTTCTTATACACTTCAGATATAGCTAGTTAACAGTGCTTCAGAAATC